GGAGCTGAAATATCTAAGGTCGCAGCAGCCTTTTAAAACAGTCCGAAACTGGGCCGGAACCAAGCGGCATCCAACATTGGTCTCAGCCGTGCTCGCCGCGACTGACCCCAATCTCCTGAACTGCGGGTGTAGAGCAGTAGCTGATGCCACTAGCTACTGCTGGCACTCCGTCCGTTCAGGGGCTTACGGTCCGTGGCGGTGAGTATGGCTGTGAAAAATATTGGATGCCGCTTGGTTCCGGCGTAGATCTCGGAAGCTCAAGAATCAAACCTTGAGCATGCCAGCCCGCACGACGCCTCTTCATGGTGTCCTCTTCTGATGACATTAGAATGCACCAGGGTGTTTTCTTTCTTTGTATAGGAACAAAGTATGCGAAAAAGAGCCAGCGTCACATCCCCTTTTCTTTAACCCCTTCAATTCAATGCCACATGCACAGCCGAGCGTACACGAAAAAAAAAGTTCCGGACGCACACACTCCACTTTTTCATTTCGGGCCCGCCAGGGGGGAGGGGGAGGCGGGGGGTCTACAATATGCTCATGTAGGATTTCGACTTTGTACTCTTCGTGGTCGTTCTCCTCTGGGATAGCGTTTTTTCTCGCACTTTCTTCTGCATGGACACGCAGAGGACCCGTCGGTACATTACCCGTTCCGTGTGGGGCTCGCGAGACATCGGTGGTGCGCGATAGGGCCGCCTAAAGTCGCTGGGACATGCTCTTTTTTCAGGGGTTGGGAATCCGAACCATAAACGCCTCCTGGAACGGCACGAAAACAGAAAACAGATTGACGTGCAATCGGCCGGCGGTGGCCTACTGGCGCCCAGATATTTATGTAGATGTGCCGGTGGGGTCGTGTGTGTTTCGCGTCTCGAAGGTGCGTGCGATCAAAGTGTGTTTCTTAGGCCTTCGTGGGCCGGGATCAGCAGGGAATTCGAACACTGAAAAAGGGGGGCATGCAACGTCAGCTGCTACTACAGCTAATTGCGCCGCTTCCCTGTATCTATCCAATTGCGCCGCTTCACTTTCTCTCCAACTATCTCTCTCTCTCTCAACTGACTGGAATTCCCTCATAAGCTCATCATTCCAACCATAAACCACAACTTCCTCACTTCTAGTCTCCATCTCATACACTTTTTATGACCTTATTTGGCGATATCTCAACCAGAACTAAATCCAACCCTGCTCCCAGAGCCATCATTCGCAAGTCCATTCCATCACGCCTAAACATATATACTGCGATTAAACTACCCCAAGTCTTCTTTCACTGACCAAAACTAGGGTTGGCTTATTGCACGACATTCGCCCCCCCCAGGTTCAACGCCTACTTATCTTCGATCAGTCTCGTTTGAATTGACACTCAACACCAGCGTGCAATACCTGACCTACAACCAATATCTTCTCTAGCAACAAGTCCAAAAGTTAATCACCAGAATACCAACTCCTGTAATACACACACCAATTTCGTCACGACCGTGGTACCACTGCAATATGACTCCATCGCAAGGTACATTCTTTAGCCAAAACAACAATTGCTCAACACATCAATTTTTGACCCGTATTCGACTGCACCACTTGGCACACTTTTCCGCAGTCCTACGCACCTCAAAAACACTAGACCTACTACCTGAATCTTGACCCGTATTCGACTGCACCACTTGGCACACTTTTCCGCAGTCCTACGCACTTCAAAAATTCACCACACAAATTTTGACCCGTATTCGACTGCACCACTTGGCACACTTTTCCGCAGTCCTACGCACTTCAAAAATTCGCAACACTTAATCATCCTCCAACTCAAACATGTACTTCTTGACACTTTTCGCCGTTCGGTGTGCATGCCAGCACCACGTTCCTGGATCTTGTACCAAGTTGTCCGTCGTCAAGTTCTTCTCCACAAGTGCCACATTGATGTTTTTGCCGATGTCCACCAGCTTGATAGTATGCTTGATGCCTTCTTCCCACCTCGGATCCGGAGTCACCTGCACCACCTTCGCAAACTGCCACCCAGCCTTAACCGTCTTAAAATATAAATATGCACCAATCATCGCCCTACTTCGAAGACTCGGCCTACCCCGTGTGTCACAATAAAGTTTGTAATCTTTCTGCGCGTGTCTTTCTCCCTTCCTGCTAGCAATCGTCCTCTTTGCACCCTGAATACGGTACCTCCGATACCTAATGTTGCCTCCGGCCGATTGTTCCGGTTGCTCATTCCAATACTTAAGTACCACGTCTCCATATTGCTCCAACTCCACTTCATGTTCCCACGTACACTTAGTCAACCCCGTCCAATGCGTGTAGTACTGAGCCGCCCCCTTCCCACTGATACCTCGACAAATCCTGTGCCTTGATATTTTACACGGGACCAATTCCTTACTATCCACTTCTTCCTCCACGTCCTCTGCCGTAAGATGGAACGGAGGCGCCAACTCTGAAAACTTATTCAACACATACTTGCTAAAGCCCCACGGCAAAAACCTAGGCCTATCCTCATTCTCGTGCTGAGTATAACACTTCTTACACCGATACACCGTCACCCTCTCATTAATGTTCTTTCCTGGCTCATCCTTATTCACGTCCAAAAACAAAATATTCGGGCCCACCTTTTCCCCGTCAAGACCATCACCTGGACCCACGATCAACACCTTATACGGACCGGTCCAATTGTGTGCCAACTTTGGGATCAACGCGAACGATTTTTCTTTCCCCCTACTATTCTCTCGCGATTTAAGCACGTGTTCCCCCCCACCAGAAATTGTACTCTTCTCATCATACACTAAGACCCAATCTCCCTTCTTATACTTCGGCCTCTTTCCTACTATCGAGTTTAACACCTGATTGCTCTTCTCATGCTTAGCCTTGGTTATCTTATCCTGCTCTCTTACCAACTCGTACGCCTTTCTCTGCTTATCCCTCATCAAATTCAAATAATCCAATTGGTCTTGCTTTAGGCCCTGATTTCCCGAAACGCCCCTTCCCTCCAAGATCGTCATCGGCAACCTAGGGTACCTTCCGATGTGTACTACGTTGGGTGCTAGCCCCGTCCCCCGGCTTACGTTATTGTTGTGTGCCGCTACCGCGTGTGGCAACATCTCATCCCAATTCGCCTGATCGTCCGCAACCAAGTGCGACAACATTTGACACAGCGTATGATTTAAACGTTCCACCATCCCATTCGTCTGCGGATGATATGAGCTAGTAAACTTCTTCACCGTTCCCAGCGTCTTATACACTCCTTTCGCTACCTCATTCGCAAACTCGGCTCCCCTATCTGACAACATGGTGTGCGGACAACCCCACCTCGCAATATAATCGTTCACCATGATAGACACAAAACCCTTTGCATTCTTCTGCGCCTTCGTTAATGAGTACCCCTCCGCATGCCTGCTGAATAAATCAACCACCAGAAACACATACTCCTTGTCTTTCGTCGTTTTCGGCAACGGACCCAAATAATCAAACGACACCATCTGCCCCGGTCTGCTCGGAAGAGGCAAAGATACTAACGGCCAACACTTCGTATGCCGCGGCACCTTCCGAAACTGACAAGAATAACACCTACGGATCCACCACCCGCACACTTTCAGCCATTCCTATCCCCCAATACACCCTCTGTAAAATACCTAAAGTCACCTTCTCTCCCAAAT